TTTACACAGTTTATGTATCTCAAAGGGGACATGGATGCATTTAACCTGCAGTTACAGATGGATAAATAATGTTTTGTTTTTAAAACGTTGAACGTAAAACGTTGAATACTGATATTTGAAATAATTTAAAACATGAACAAAATAGTAGAAATGTGAAATTAAAACCACCAGTAGGTGGCAGCAAGTGACTGTTAATGAGTGAGTCATTGAGATTCAACCGATACATTAAAACGACTGATTCATTCAGGAACAAAGCATTTGACTGTATTAATGAGTGAATCACTGAATCATTTTTATCAACCGATTTGTTCAAAAAGCTGATTCATTCAATAAGTAAACACCAGTACTGTAACGAAGTATTATTACTTCGTTACAATACACCACTGGGTTTATAGGTAGGAGTGGGATTAGCGACTATATTTTATAACTAATATTTTAATGCTATATTGTTACTAAAATTGTTATTTTCCTGCATATTTCGGTCAATTGCGTTTTATATCCTTTTATATTTGCTATAAAATGGGTAGGTTAAGGTTTGGGGGTAGGTTAAGGGGTCTGAACATTTAAATTGCTTATTGATAAAATGATAAAAATGCATATTTGCTATAAAATGGGTAGGTTTAGGTTTGGGGGTAGGTTAAGGGGTCTAAAAATCTAAATCTCTTATTGATAAAATGATAAAAATGCATATTCGCTATAAAATGGGTAGGTTTAGGTTTGGGGGTAGGTTAAGGGGTCTAAAAATCTAAATCGCTTATTGATAAAATGATAAAAATGCATTGATACGAATATCTTAATGATACAAAAGATACGTAAATATCTTTACGTTTTTTAGCTGAAAATACGTAGCGATTTGTACGTTTTAAACGTTGAAATACATCTAAATTGTACGTTTTAGCGTCAATAAAAACGTACAAAAAATTATGTTTTGTGTTTGAAAATATTACGTATTAATACCTACGTATAAACATGAGACCAGGCTGAAATAAGATGTCAAATGGGGCAATTTACAATACACAGAAGCAATGGCTAAACTTCCCTATACCTTTAACACTGTTCATTTGCTGATGTGCAAACACTGCTGTTTTCTTCAGGAAATACTAGTTTAGTGGTTGATGTTTCTGAGAAAATAACTGTCTATGGATTTGTTTGGTTGGAAAACATTTTGAACTCATTTTCACATAGGCAGTGAAGAAGCCCTGTTTGAGAATATATGCTATCTCTTCACATCTCTACTTATCCAAACCTTCCTTAGTACCCTGTGAGGAAGCCAATGAAGCCACAGCAATGGAGTGGCTGCTCTTTTAAGCTGTCAAAGAAAATCCCTGACTAAACACAAGGGAGAAGCAGTTAATACCCTGGCACAGTATAGGGTTGGTAAAAATACCCTGACTTTGTCAATGATTGAGTCAAGTTATTCTGAGACATGACCTTAAATAGATTAGCTCATGTTGTGAGGGCTGGATGTGTTCAAAGGAAGTGTTTTTAGTGTGGGGCGGGATGGAAATATATATTCGAAAACCTAGTGAGCTGCGTACAAATAAAGCATTTTAGGCATCATAGGTAGGCTACACTGTGGACTCAAAGACCGTTCCAAAAGGTAGGCAGCATTATAAGACGCCTTCTAAAATACTTAGTTTTGGCCACATTTTCATTTATGCATATGGAGAAGGAAATCCAATAATACATTGTGACAAGCTCAGTGAAAAAAAGAGGGAAAAAAAGGTTAAGTAAGAGAAATATCAGTTATACATGCTGATTTATAATCTATTCAACACAAAAACACACTGATAAAAAATAGTTCACTATAATAATTTTCATTATTATCCAAATGCTAACGTCAAACGATTGTAAGTTGAAAATGAGTTTGACATTAGCATGTCGCTAAGCTAAAAACACAATACTCCTTACAGCATACATGCATTAAGTAAAATAGGCAATTTGTATTTAGATTGCACTGTTTACTGAAGGAAATACATTTATAACCAGCATTTCTCTTTGCTCATCTGCCATCTTGGATTCATTTGTTTGTTTGTTTTCACTGAACTCGCGCATTGCAGTGATTGCCTTCTATGAATGACCCATGCCTACCTTTTGGAAAAGCCTTTGAATGCTTCTCTAGGCAGCTGACAAAGCGATAGTGATGACAGCCTGGTTATACTGCATTAAATTCTTATATTGATGATTACATGTCTTCGAATATCCTATTGTCATATAACTCAAGGTGTGTTGCATTCCTTTCAATAGCAACAGCAATAACTACAAAAACATTGCAGTTGCTAAATATGTGTTTACTTTCTTTGTACTGTTTACCCTTTCAACAGCTAGGACCTGTGGATCTAATCTGCGGGGCCCTAAAGGCATCATAACGTCTCCAAATTACCCCGTCCAGTATGAGAATAACGCACACTGTGTGTGGGTCATAACAGCGGTGGATCCAGAGAAGGTACGTCTTCAATTTAAATCTAAATTGCAACCTAAGGCTGACTCCAAGTTAAACCAGTATAGAATTCCACAAACGGTCCATTTTTAATCTGCCAAACCAAAGCCTGATATGCTGCTGAATAGCCACCAAGACACATAATTGAATGGGACCTTGCATAAATGTCAAAAATAATCTTAGAGATAATTTGTGAGGACATTTGCATTGCAGTCCACAGTGTTTGCATAATTGTCAACCTTTTGCCATGACTGTCTCTCGCTATTACTGCGTCTCCAGAATTGATTAGGTTCAGCCACACGTCTTCAGCTCTGTGGCAAGAGTGATGGTAATACAATCCGGCATGACCTCAACACACGCCGTGAGAGTGACTCATGCTTTTGTTACTAAATCAAGACCAAATGAAAAAAGTCAAAACAACATATTAGAATAAACAAGAGCTATTCTGCTCCCCATGCTTTGCATCTTTCCAGATTTTAATGTTGAGATAATGTGTCTGTGTGACATTATTGAATTTACTTTCAGATCTTGAAATTACTGTAAAATGATCCAACAGTATAACACAATTTTCATTACAGATATTTAGCAGACATTTAGCAACTATTTAGCTGGATAATACACCAAATATTCACCATATATAACTATTCAAAACTTTTTGGCTCGTAAGATTTATAATATATAAAATCTAGGCTACATTTATGATTTATTTGATCAAATCCTTCTGACCTCAAACTTTTGAATTGTAGTGTATATTTGCAATGTATGTATCAAATATTGATATTTATTCAAACTTCATGATAAAAAGGCAGTAGAGTTCTGTGAATAAGTAGAAATTATTTTAGTGCATTGATTCAAAGCGCTAATTCATTTGGATTCATTTGCATCGCCACTCTGAGACCAAAGTCTCTGAGTGGGATTTTTCAAGCATTTAAATATTTAGTTGAACAATATAGATACAAATGATGTATGTTTATGTTTGAATATATTTTATACTCATATAAATTATTCCTTTTGTTCTTTTATTGTGGAAAACATTCCTTTATTATTTTTAGAGTATGCATTGTAAAAGGTTGGTTTCTTTGATCAACTTACACTCACCTGTGTTACGCTTCCTGGGGAAGGCTTACGCTGAAACGCAAAGGATCTTATCATTTTTGTATGTATAGCCATGTAATAATAAAGGCATTTAAATAAATTGTAGTGCCTTTGTTATCTAGCTTTTTGTTTTATACCATGTTGAACCATTGACCTTAGAGCACCTTCTTGTTATATTCCATGTAGAAAGCTCTCTCTGCCATTAAAGGGATAGTTCACAAATTTGATGTTTATCTGCTTACCCCCAGGGCATCCAAGATGTAGGTGACTTTGTTTCTTCAGTAGAACACATATGATGATTTTTAACTCCAACCGTTGCAGTCTATCACATTCTTTAAAAGTTTGTCTTTTTTTTCTTAAACTCTGTTCAGAACAGAATGTTAAGACCTCAAAAGATCATAAAAATGCAGTCTTGATCTTTGTCTCTGTCATAGCATATGGTCTGAGACAAGAAGGTCAACATGTTCTGACTGCTGATACAGTCAGATTCAAGGCCATTTCTGTAATAGATATCAGTCTGCTTACAAACCAGTAGCATTTTGTCATGTTGATGTGGCCTGGATAATGTTTATTGTCCATCCAAAAAAGAAGCCATTTACCGTCAAGAGGTCTCACCGCACCACGTCATTTACTAGAAAATATTACTTTCATACAAAGTTGACGTAACGTAAGAATCTCAGTCAGATTCAGCTCATAAAATTATTTGTTCCTGTCCTTGAATTGCTTTAGCTAAAACATTTAGTGCTGTCTTTCATATTAGCTTTAATATATTATATTTCAGCGCACTTTCCACTAGGTTGATTTTTTTTTCTCCAGTGAAAGGAGCCATCACAACCACTGCTGCACATACTAAAATTTATAAAAACAAAGGATTCAAACATTTGCTTTTCTATGATATTTAGAAATGTCAGTGGATGGCAATTTTTTTTTTCAATGTAACCGAACTTTTAACATAAAACAGGTTAAATATGTGACCCGTGCTGGCAAAATGAGTCAGAATGAGCAAATTAAAAAAAAATATATATATATATATATTTATTTTCACATTCTCAATTAGAATACCTTAAAAATTATATATGACTTGTTGGAATCAGACAAAAAATTACTGAGCTACAGCCGTTTTAAGGCGAAAGAGTCAGTACATTTTTTACTTCTTTTGCCTGTAGCTCAAAATTAGACTGTGCACATTCCGACTCATTTTGCCAGCACGGGTCACATATTGATGTTTTATATCATCTGGATGGTCATTACACATGGTATGTGAATAAGAAGAGTCAAGTAAGAATATGAAAAGTTTAAAAATTGTTCCTAGAATCTAAATCATTCCTGGTAGCAGGCAGAGCTTACTTCCTGCATTATGTATTCAGAAATGCATGCTGGATTTCTGTAGCTCAGCGAGGAAATGACTAGTCAGACAGGGCCTAGTACTGTGGGGAAAAAGCATTTTGTGTATATTATACTGTCTGATTTAATTAAAATGAAGGGGACATGCACTTCAACACTGGCTGAAGAATATCTTTTTTATCACAGGCACTGGAGATTTGTAGCCTCTTTGTTGTTTATGGAGCGTGTCGATTTATGGTCTATTTTGTGTTCCCTTTGAGTTTGGAGATGGGGCTGTTAGGTTTGAAGGGTTGAAAGTTAAGCTGTAGAGGTTAAGGGGTATTGGGAGCATTCAAAAATATTTTAATTTGTAGCTTTTTGATGTATAGGGCTATATGTATAGTGTTTTTGGAGCAAATTAATATGATATTTCTGAAATGAAATGAACCTTGTAATGTTAATGCATCTTGTGATGATAATGCAGGCATGTTCAGGCAGAATTTGTAACTATGTTTGCAATTTTTTTTATTGCTCTTGCATATTTGAATAATTTTCTAGAAAATGTGTGTTGTAATAAAAGCTTGATGTGGTGCAAGTAGGCCTTTATGTCGGTAAATGACCTCCTTTTTGGCCAGAAATATTTAAAGCCAAATTAACATGACATATAGACCCAAACTGTAGTCATTCACAATTTTTGGACTGGATTTTGTTGGTTTGTGCAGTGGCGAGATCAGATGTGCATTGCCACACAACTCACAGCTCAGAGGGAATGCTGTTTGTAACTAACACTAAATGTGATTTGTAAAAACTCATACTTTCTCAGTTTTTCCCCCTCCTGGACGAATAAAAATGCACGATAAACCCACACCATTTAGCAATTTCTGAAGAGCATCGAGAGCCGTCTTCTCTCAAACTCAGGGAGAGTCATTGAGGCAGCTGTCAGGCCTTTTTAGTTTTGTATAAAATAAAGAAATCAATCATTCTTTTAAGCTGGTTCAGGGAACAATCGCTAAGATGTCCTGTCACTCTCTGATTGTGTTTATGTAGACCATGAGTGCTGTTTTTATCCTCTGGTATTGGGAGCATTCAAAAATATTTTAATTTGTAGCTTTTTGATGTATAGGGCTATATGTATAGTGTTTTTGGAGCAAATTAATATGATATTTCTGAAATGAAATGAACCTTGTAATGTTAATGCATCTTGTGATGATAATGCAGGCATGTTCAGGCAGAATTTGTAACTATGTTTGCAATTTTTTTTATTGCTCTTGCATATTTGAATAATTTTCTAGAAAATGTGTGTTGTAATAAAAGCTTGATGTGGTGCAAGTAGGCCTTTATGTCGGTAAATGACCTCCTTTTTGGCCAGAAATATTTAAAGCCAAATTAACATGACATATAGACCCAAACTGTAGTCATTCACAATTTTTGGACTGGATTTTGTTGGTTTGTGCAGTGGCGAGATCAGATGTGCATTGCCACACAACTCACAGCTCAGAGGGAATGCTGTTTGTAACTAACACTAAATGTGATTTGTAAAAACTCATACTTTCTCAGTTTTTCCCCCTCCTGGACGAATAAAAATGCACGATAAACCCACACCATTTAGCAATTTCTGAAGAGCATCGAGAGCCGTCTTCTCTCAAACTCAGGGAGAGTCATTGAGGCAGCTGTCAGGCCTTTTTAGTTTTGTATAAAATAAAGAAATCAATCATTCTTTTAAGCTGGTTCAGGGAACAATCGCTAAGATGTCCTGTCACTCTCTGATTGTGTTTATGTAGACCATGAGTGCTGTTTTTATCCTCTTGCTAAGTCTTCTGTAAGAAAAAGAAGAAAAAAATAATCTTTACTTTTGACAGGATAATTTAAAAGCCTGTATTTTAGACTTAGTTTAAGGTCTCGCCAAACGTCTCTGTATCAGCACTGACATTTTATACAGATTGCTTGTCAAGATCTTCTCAGTGTTGCTGAATCGTTCCTTTCTTTTTAAACGGATGCAGCCAGCGTGCTTGCTCTATTACTATTAATAAACAAAATGGTGACCATAGACACTGCAGCAATTATAAAATGTTAATATGACTTATTTGTACATGTCTCACTGTGCTGTGACTTTTTCAAGTAGGAAATATTATGAATAACAGTAATCAACTTACAAATTGCTTATTTCCCTGCATATTAAAATAGTAGTATAAAATAAATTTTACTCACTCTCATGTTCAGAATATTCCAAACTTTCTTTCTTCAGTGGAACCCAAAAGGAAAATCTAGGCGGAATGGCAGTCTCAATTACCTCTCACTTTCATTGTATTCAAAAAAAATAAAAAGCATTGAAACTAAGCGAATGGTGACTGAGGCTGTCATACTGCATAACATCTTCTTTTGTGTTCCACTGGTTTTGGAACAACATGAGGGGGAGTAAATGAAGACACAGTTGTCATTTCTGAGTGAATTATCTCTTCAATATGAAATTGTAGAAGGTAACATTGAAAAAAAAATGACACCAGTCATATTTAAAGATGGGACAGAATATGGATGAAAATAATGGCTCTTTAATGGACCGTTTTAAAAAAAAATGTGAGGATGTTGATCATAGGGTTGTCCTAATTAAGCTTGATTTTTTTCTTCTCCTTCTAGCAATCTCTCCTTGAATCCAATTTTCTTTCTGCCGCCTTCCTTTCTGTGCTTACATCAAATGAACATGCATCCCGTTTCCTCGGACTTTGCACCACACATGGCAGAACTTCTCAAAGTCTCACATATCTTGAATTAAACAAAATTATTTAATTGCACCTTCATCTCTGCTTCTTCAATCAGCCTTACATGTGTAGCCATGGAAAAGAATTGAGAGCGACGACTGGCTTGCCTTGCTGTTGTGTTTTTCTTCTTCTTTTAATACGATCACTCTCTGAGTCAGCCTCATGTGAATAGGCCCATTCTGCTCTGGGCATTTTGCTCTATGGTGTTTGTCTTGACCTCTCCTTCATTCCTGTAGGTCATCAAGCTGGCTTTTGAAGAGTTTGATCTAGAGCGAGCATACGATACATTAACAGTGGGCGACGGAGGGAAGATAGGTGATGCTCGAAGAGTCCTTTATGTGTGAGTAGAGCAAAAAGGGTTCTTATGTTAAACTTTGAACAGACACATGCTTCTATTCACAAACGCCTCCATGACTTACTTATTTATGCCCATGGAATAACAGTTTTCTTTCAAAAGCAACCTCCACATGACATAGGCACTGGGTTTATGTATATGCTTTCATAGCTCCATACGAATACACAAATCAAAGAATACATTTCGATTTTGTGCCTCTATTCTAGCCTCACGGGATCCAGCGTGCCCGATTTGATTGTGAGTATGAGTAACCAGATGTGGCTCCATCTGCAGTCCGATGACACGATTGGATCGCAAGGTTTCAAGGCTGTATATGAAGGTATGTCACTGGTTTTCTCTTTCTTAAGGTCATTTCCACCAACTCTAAGTGATGAAACAGGACTGTAAATGGTCACCTTTTTCTTCTTTTCCAAGAAATATCAGTGTGTTGTTTATTCCTTTTTACAGTGAAAATATATGACTTGGTGACTTTCGGTTGCTAAAGCGTACCAGTTTTAAAAAGGCATGCAAATTGAAGGCAAATGGAGCAGCATATGTGCTGTGCAGACATGTTTAAAAAGCTTGCGTGAAATATTCTACCTGCCGTTCACCCTGCAGGAGAATAGCATCAAAGCAAGTCAGATCTGAGAATACAATGAGGCATGTATTTACATATACACAGATAAACCGATAAAAATTGCTACAGAAACAGCCATTCTGTATTCACAAGTAAACATGTTCAAGTTCAAGTTTATTTATTTGTATAGCGCTTTTCACGATACAAATCGTTGCAAAGCAACTTTACAGAAAATTAAGTTTCTACAATATTTAGTAGTAGCTTATCAGTGGTGACTGTCAGTTAATGTACGGAAAAATCAATTAAAGACGTAATAAAACAGACGATGAACACTATTAACAGCAATTATTATATGATGCAATCAAACTTATAGCAAAATTTGGTAGTTCTGTATGTTGTTTCAGGGTTGGCATCATCTGAGGTCCTCTGAGGGGTTGGCATCATCTCTTCTCAGGTGTTCTGGATACAGACTGAAGCTTGTGTAAATCCCAGTTATATCAATCCCGTGGCAAAAACAGATAAACAATCAGAGACATAATTAGCGTAACTGCTGTTCCAATCAAGCAACATTGATTTGTTTAACCCAAGCTAAAGAATAACAATGTGCATTTGATCAGATATAACTGCAGTACAAGATTATGAGATGGATTATTTGAATGCTTGGCCAAAGAGATGTGTCTTTAATCTAGATTTAAACAGAGAGAGTGTGTCTGAACCCCAAACGTGAGCAGACACAACTTTTTCTAAAATTTTAGACATAAAAGGAAGATTTGAGATGGGTCTGTAATTTGCCAGTTCACTCGGATCTAGTTGTGGTTTCTTAATAAGAGGCTTAATAACCACCAGCTTGAATGGTTTTGGGATGTGACCTAAAGACAACGACAAGTTGATAATATTGAGAAGCGGTTCTTATGCTACAGGTAACAACTCTTCAGTAATTTAGTGGGTACAGGATCTAACAGACATGTTGTTGGTTTAGATGCAGTGATAAGTTTGTTGACATGTTGCACCATTATCAAATTATCAGCTCAAGATCTGAACTCATGACAGTGTGGTGAAAATGTTTCTATTTTACATCCTGTTCTAATTTAAGAAATTGTATTAAATTATTTGATCAGCTAATGAAAATGTTTCTATTTTGCATTCATTTCTTATTTAATTAAATTATATCAACTAGTGAACAAGTTTTCATTTTACATTTTTTTTTTGTTACAAATGACATTATCATTATAATGATTTGAGTGAAAAGGTGATATTTCTTCACATGATCAATGTCACCAATTGGACCTAGAAATAGAGCATAATATTTCTTATTTACATTTCTAAATATTTAGTTTATTTCCAGATTCAAGTGGTATGTATAGTTGTTTTAGTACAGAGTGGATTTCCTTAAATAGAATATGAAAACACTTTAATTTATTCAACATGATTAAGTAGACATTTTATTTTGTATTTATCTATTCCCTTTGTTTCTTCCTTAAAAAAAAAGGAGTTGTTCCCTAGCCGCTCTTCACTGTGAACTATAACCTCACAATTGAGCAATTCTCACTGTCTGGATAGCCCAGCACAATGACACAAACCCAATTAACTTTGTGTAAACCCAATTTCACACTTGTGCTTCTAGTCACGTTGTCATGTTTGACATTTCCACCGGTACCCACTGGTGGGACACTTTGTTTGAGGCCGTGTAGATATCAAACTCAAATTCATCATTTCATACCTTCATTTAAAAGTTTTTAGATTGGCAAAGGATGGTTTTCCCCTCAACGGAAGTTCTAAACTTTACAAAAACTGTGGTCACCAACAATAAGCTTTATCAGACAGAACAAAGGCTCATTTCATAGTAGATAATTAAAGCCAACCTTCTAAAGAGTTAAATGAATAGTTCACTAAATGAAAATCGTTCATTATTTACAAATTTAATTCCAAACCGATAAGCTGGAATTCAGTTTTATTGCTCATTGACAAATTTAAATTTTTCCCTCCACAACTCCTAAATCTCATTATTTTGGTGTCAATCATTTGTAATTTTCAGTATTTAATGCCTTCAATTTCTTGTCTGTTCCTCACACAAAACTATAGCATGACTTTAAAAAATGCAAGGAAAATGAAAACAAGTCATGGACTACTTTATACCTGCAGACTTGTTGCCTTAAGAAATACAAAAATACCCTAAAGTGTCAACACATGTATGTTGTAAATAACATACATATGTAATAAAAAGTGAGAGTGCGTAAATAATGACAGATTTCATTTTTAGGCGAACTGTTCCCCCACTTGTGTGGGAAGCAGGTTCTAACATTATTTCCAGGTAAAGAATTTTGCTGTTAAAAAAAAAAAAAAATTTAATTAAATAACAAATCCACGATAGAATGACCATAAAATAAATAACATTTAATAGATTTTAAATAGAAAATGCTTGAGTAATTACCAAAGAAAAACAAAAGTGAACTTTGACAAAACAAAAAAAAAACAGTTTTACACTTAATTGCACAGAAAATGTCAGATGATTTCTTTTTCCAATTATGGCGGCTATTACATTTAATTTATTAGCCTTTTTTTTGCCAGTGTCTAAGGAACACAATGACCTGTCCTGGCAAATTTGACATTTTTGTCAATAGCACACATAATAGATTTGTTTGGTCTAGAGCTTAAGCAAGGTAACCACATTAGCTTAATGGTGTGTTAACTGTGTTAAAAACCCCGTACAAAAATATATGCGAATGTTTAACAGAGCATTTCTATAACTGTTAATGTTCCAGATAGCCTTCCTGTGCATTATTTAACACCGTTGCTTGTAAGAGCGGCTTGCTTTGATAAGTTGGCAGTCCTAACACGATAGTCTACTATTCTTGTGGATTCTTAAACTAATCGCCTGTGGCAGCACTGAAGGTATTTAGCATGCTCTTAACACCTTGTAGAGGTTGTGGAATCTGCCGCAAGTGGGAAACTCATCCCCTGTAGATTATCGGTTGGCTGGGTCAATAGAGCGCTTGCTGCTGAGCTGACACCATAGTTGTTAACATAAAAATGAACTCTTCCTGAACATCATTCGTTTGTCACTGTCATTTTATGCTGCCTTCCAAAACATTTCCTGGAAATATACAGCCTTAGCTCAGTATTCAAAAATGTGTCAAAGGACTGCTCTGATACTGTCGAGGACGGCACAGAAAAAGTAATGCTAAATGCAAATGATAAAAGGCAACTAGCAATATAAATATATTAGGATAGCAACATTAATAGGTTTGTCAACCTCTGAATGTTTGAATATGTTTCCCATCTTTTGTTGTTGATGTCAAAGAAATTCTAGATCTTTGATCTTTGCATTTCGTTTGGTTTGCGGATTTTTTTTGCCTTGGCTTTTTGTATTTTTCTTCTATTTATTGAATATACGCACCCAATTATAAACATATGTTTTTGCTTTACTTAACTGGCACAGAATCTTTTCATACTTTTTGATTTAAAGAAATTCTAGAGACATGTAAAAATTAAAATTGTCAATTTAGGAAATATTTCTTCCATATTGTTGGGCTTATGCAGTTCATGTTAATATTAATACATTTCCGTAAGCACATTTTTTGTTTACTTTTGCAAAATCCAAGTCCTAGAGCAACACCGTGTTATGCTACTTACAATGTCAAAAGGTGGTCAAATTGCCAGGCTGAAAACAACATGTTTAAATTAAATAAATCATGCTCTCTTGTTTTCCACAGAAATTGAGAAAGGTGGATGTGGAGACCCAGGCGTCCCTGCATATGGAAAGCGAACTGGGGACCGTTTTTTACACGGTGATGTGCTGACCTTTGAGTGTCAGGCTGCTTTTGAATTGGTTGGCGAGAGGACAATATCGTGCCAGCAAAATAACCAGTGGTCTGGAAACAAACCCAGCTGCGTCTGTAAGAGTCATTTTCTGAAATGCTTGGTTATAATTAACATGTTGCCATTTAGAATGATTAATGTATCGCTTCTGTAAAAGCATGACATCTAGATTAGGGGCAGATATGAAGCCGAATGGCATCCGTCCACGCTAGCAATTCCCAGGTTTGCTGTAGGAGAGGTCAATTATCATATTTCTGTTTCTGGAAAGTGTTACTGTCTCCTCTTCTCTCAAGAGGGAATGCACTAAGAACTGTGTGTTTGTTTGACTACACATGTCTAGAGATATGCCCAGTCTACAAAAAAAGATAGCATACAATATCTATCAATCTGAAATAATCCAAATTGACATTAAAATAATAATAAGAATACAAATAAAATATAAATAAATATATGCACACAGGCACAACTGTAGTGAATTCAACCCTCAATCCATCTGTCTGAGATAATCCTGTCATGCAATGGTAATTTTGTTTAGTGTTGCGATAAGAGGAAGCAGTAGCTTGTTAATGTATTAAATGGATGTTTTGTTGTTGTTGTTGTTGTTGTTTTTTTTTTACTTTCCTGACAAAGCTCAGACTATGACATGTCGTCATTTCTGCACCATGCAAACAATTCATTATCATAGTCTATGTGAATCCTCTTTTCTCTCATCTTTTTAGAGACAAAATAGTATTCCTGATAGCGCATCTATTGTGAATGAAAATAAATAGTGTAACCTTTGTAATGGAATTATATATATTTGTCTTCATCTCCACAGTCTCCTGCTTCTTCAATTTCACCACTCCGTCAGGCATCATCCTCTCGCCAAACTACCCAGAGGAATACGGAAACAACATGAACTGTGTGTGGCTCATTATAGCGGAGCCGGGCAATCGGATCCATCTCATTTTCAGTGATTTTGAGTTGGAGCCCCAGTTTGACTATCTTATTGTGAAAGACGATGGCATGCCGGAACCCACCACTTTTGGAACGTTCTCTGGGAAGGATGTACCATCGCAGATCGCCAGTAATGGGCATATCATGCGCTTGGAGTTCCAGTCGGACCACTCAAACACGGGAAAGGGGTTTAACATCACCTACACAAGTAAATGTGATTTTAATATTATGTTGTGTTTTAGAGGTGAAATGTGCAATTTCTGCAACAATAGGGGCACAAATAATGTAGCTGTGTTGGGCTGGTTGGGATGCTCATATAGAGCGATGTTTGATAATGCCACAGAGCCGCTTTGTTTCACCTTTTCAGGGAAATCATCCTACGGATTGCTTATAAGGCAATATATCTGCATATTAAACTGGGATATAACAAAGTCCCTTACAAGGCAAGTCAGTTCACTCGGCAGCAATCTTGGGAATGTCGTCGGGCAGCTATTTTCAATCATGCAAGTATAGCTCCTATCTAACTGAATGGGGAAATACCAAAATGTCAAAAAGTATTTGACAAACTTGCATTTCAAGACCATATTTCAAAACAGCATGGTATCATAAACATTGCTTCTTATTCTTCAAAAAAAAAAAAAAAGAAGTATACTGTATTTTTTTAGGTTGTTCTAGTCCAATGTGCGAGTACAGTGTAGAGAAAAATCTGAGCCCACGTTTCACATAAAGACCAGGTGGTGACTTTGCAGATTAGTGATTGGCTCTTTTGTTCGAAAGGCAAGATCTGCCATATTGGCTGTGTCCTCCTGGTTATACATTGCATAGCATAATTGTGTGATTGTTTTGTATTTATGTAGAAATTATTCCTTTCAGTCTGAAATACATTTTAATCATTTTCCCTCAGGGGTAGTCAATTATCTTATTTTTCCCTGCATCTTGCTAGAACAAGGGGTCACTTTATGTTTTTGCAGTATGCAGCTTGTTATAGGATTTAAGTCAGAGTAATATCTTTGAAGTTGAATAGATTCATTTGTAATATTGACTGCTCAAGGTAGAGAATGTTATGGTGCAATCCCATCACCTTTTATTAGGCATATCTCTGTTGTGAAAAATGCTATTCTTCATACTTCCAGCACTTAAAGGGCATTTTGACCTTCAGTACAAGTTTCATAGGATTCCATATTTACAGCAACAAGCTTTGGTTTTCTTTCTTTTTTCTTTTTTGTCCCCCACATGAATCAAAATATAGTCATGCATAGCAAGAGTTCTGAGTTTAATTAGTTTTTAGGTTTTTATTAAAATTACATTGACAAATATGATTTCCACTGAGATGAGCTTATCTTTGAACTTAAACAGAAATGTGTTTTAGTATTTAGGTCTTGGTGCACTGCAGACCTTGATAATCTCGATTCACAATGACACTGTTGTGAAACCCAGTGAGCTGCCTACATAGGCAGCATATTAAGGCATAGACAGACTCTATCAAAAAGTAGGCAGCATGATTAAGATACTTTCTTTTGAACAAATTCTAAAGCAGCATCGCATGTATGTAATTTTACACAAGGGAATTGTGAGACTTCCTCTAGCTTGTCATTGAAAAGTTAGCTAGCTTGCTTCGCCCTCTCTGGAATGTAACTTTGATACCAGTGTAGTGTTTATGTAGCTTAACTGGTACAGCGTGTCCTAGCAATGCCAAGGTAATGGTTTGATTCCTAGGAAACATATATACTGATGAAACATGCTTTGGATTTTTAAAATGGATTTGCTAAGTGCATATATGTACCGTTGCTCTTTATTAACAATATTAAAGATAGTTTGACTGTTAAAATGCCATTAGGGATACTTCAAGTCAGTAAGCTAAAAATGACTGAAACTGAACATATTTATATTTTTAGTGAATAGATGAAACTGTGACCGAGATCTGTGTTGGCACGTCTATGTGGGAACAAAATGGGGTGGTAGATGGAGCCAGTAGTTGTAGGCAATGTCAGTGTCAGTGGATTGTGTGGTTTGATATCTCAACAGTGCTGCTTCAGTAATGGTGTGCCATTGTCTCAGAAAGGAGTAGACATGTTTCCCAAAGTGGCGCTGGAGCAACTATCAGGCATGGCCGTAAGAACAATGAGACTGTCATTTGGGAATGGGGTAGAGCTGCGTACATGCCCTAAGCCCTGGCTGCGAGGTCTCCATGTATTAGCCATCACACTTCCACAGGGACCTCGCAGACAGATGTGTTCACCAAATGAAAACACTAAAATAGCTTTGACAGGATTCTCTGCTTCTGCGAGTGCACATATTGAATAATTGAAGCTTCCACACTGACATCTGTGATGCATGTGCGACACATATGTGAGCTGTCTGCAGAGTTGTGTTAAGGGAAAACAGAGAGTTGACAAAAATCTTCAAGCCATCTTGAGTGTGTCTCAAACCACCGTGTGGCGGAAAAAAATAGAGGGTTTAGAAACGAAGGCTGTAATGCGACTGAATGTTCTCTGTTGACGTTTATCCACGCACCGCCTCAACGTCTGTGTTTCTTTCACGTGATTCAGATTTATTTTTCATGGGAAATTGTAACTGTTAATGTAAAGTTAAGTAAGGGTTAACAACTGACTGATGAATTATGAAAATTCATGCACACCCAATGGTGTTAATGCTGCTACGACACAAATTGTAGTGTGCATTAAATATTTTCATTGATTTGAAATTATTCTAAATAATTCAGTCAATCAGAATCAAGCATTCAACCATACCATAAAGCAAAGTAAATTAATGCCTTGTTATATTGTATATACGTATGCTTTGCATTATGCAGTATTACATACATTACTGTAGCTTTTAACCCTAATTCTTACCCTAATGTCTGTGTGCATGGTCTGTTTGACCACACAGTGTACAAACAATTAAACTTACGTAATGCCTACTATAATAGAAAATCTTGACAAAATGCTTTTGCTTCTACATGAGAGCATAACTTAAACACAAGGTAACATTCAAAGATAATCCAGATGTTCCCGAAGTGACATTTTGATGGTGGGTGGATTAAAATTCTAAGAAAATGACAAAAAATTTGCCTCTTGTAGAATAAATTAGAAATTGAGTTGCCATCAGAGTGTGCAGCTGTGTATATTAGCTTTGTTTACATGCACTGCATTATGTCCGTTTCCATGCTAAATTCAACTGTACTGGTGTACAGGACAATTATGGAAATGTATGCAATTCATACAACAGTGTATTGTAATTCACAATACCCATACATATTTGCCCCTACATATTTGGCGTCATTCAAATACATGCTATCATGTGAAGAGTACCGAGGCGGCTATATACAGTATGTGTAAGGTTTAGTGGTATCATGTATGTTAGCGTTTTATTCACACATGTGTGTTACGGATTCTCAAAATAAGGTCAAATTCTAGTGACACTTTGGTGCCACACAGGTACTTTTCACTACTGCAACATTTGCCTTATGAGACTGGGCATTCTGGGCAAGATCAGTTGTGTAAGTTGTTTCTTAAAAGATAATTATAGTTGACTTAATTGAAGGTTAGGTACTCTTAATGAAAGTTAAGTGCTGATATCTTCTCAGGCAAGAGCAGGCAGGACCTAGATTAAGTATTATATGCTTCAGCACTGATTATACTTGTATCCCATGTCTGTAGCTTTTGGTCAAAATGAATGTCACGACCCTGGTATTCCCATCAACGGGCAGCGCTTTGGAGAGCACTTCTTACTGGGCAGCTCAGTGCTCTTCACGTGTGATGAGGGCTTCATCAAAACCCACGGATCCGAATCCATCACCTGTGTCATCCAGGATGGAAACGTGGTGTGGAATGCGGCCGTCCCCCGGTGTGAAGGTGAGAGAGCTCTTAGACTTTACTCTTCTGCACCTCTTCTGAAGGTGCTGCTGGGATTTGTGAGATGGGCTGCTGTTGACATTTTATTTTTCTGCACTCTCACTGTCCCAGCTCCATGTGGCGGACATCTAACGGCTCCCATAGGAGTCTTACTGTCCCCTGGCTGGCCCGGGTACTACAAAGACTCCCTCAACTGCGAATGGATGATTGAAGCCAGAAAGGATCATGCCATCAAGATATCTTTTGCCAGGTATTGATTTGTTTTGAATTTTTTTTTTCATTGCATATGAAACCCCTGGACACCCATCCCTGTCCCCTTTCTGGAAACTCTGGCAGCAGTCTCTTCAGTACAGTTTCAGTTTAATCTCCCTCATTAGAGTAATTCTGCTAAAGACCTGGGTCGTAAGCAGATGTTCCGCTCTTTCCGATTTCCTGTGCAGGTTTCAGACGGAGGTTAATTACGACACGCTGGAGGTTCGGGACGGGCCCTCCAACTCGTCGCCTCTGATCGGCGAGTACCACGGCACTCAGGCCCCCCACTTCCTCATCAGCACCGGCAATTACATGTACCTGCTCTTTACCACCGACAACAGTCGTTCCAGTGAAGGCTTCCAGATCCGCTATGAGAGTGAGTCAGCTTCTCATCTTTCCTCTGCAGTGATTTAAATGCACAGATATTGGGTTTTCACGCTCCACGGTGGGCGGTTCTGCAATATTCCATACATTTTGGCTGGACACGCTCTCTGGTGCATGTAATGTAATTGGAACGGTTTCTCCAGGGTTACAATCAGATGATAGTTTTCTAGTTGTCTAAAAATTATTTTGAGAAACATGTGTGTGCTAGCATCACATGACCAATATCAACATCCAGAGGCAACAGCTAAATTTAAGAGACCTCTGTGAATAATTAAATTGATCTGAAAATAAAGTTTGTTTTCTTTTTGAATGTGTTTAGTGGTGGTGGGTTTATAAACTGCGCTGTAGAGTGCGATTAAAGTTTAATGTCCCGCTGACACAAGGCCTGTTTGTTTGTTAGTGCAGGCTCAACAGATCGACAAATCATTATTGTTAAAAGCATTGTTATTGTTTTAATGCTCTTGTAGTTATTGTCGACTTGCTAACAGGGATTAAGCCAGAAAAAGCCAAAATCGGATTTGGCATCTGTTTTAGTGGACCCCCCACAGAGATATAGAGGTAACAGATAAACCACCACTAGCATAAAAGCCTTTTGAATTCTTTATATGTCAATGTTATTGTTGAAGGTGGAGTATGCAGTTCATGTGCTACTAGTGTCACTTAGCGGAATAACAAAAATTAAGCATATTTTCAAACAGCCTCTGTATAGCATCCCGTTCGTGCGTCACACCTCTCTGAACTCAAACATTACAAACACAGCTCTTAAGGGTGTATAAACATGAAGACATGTCTCAACAGGTAAAAGTAGGCCACTTTCAATTAAAGTTCCAACATATTAGGAATGTGTTTCAATTGAAGTTTAGCTTTCCTGTCAAGAAGAAACTCTGAGTTCTTCGTCTTGATTGAAACCCAAACATTCCATCAAATATTCAATCTTGTAAAAACACTACAGATCTTTTCCCTTGTTTTATCCCATTGTGTGTTTCTGTGTGTTTTTGCAAGTGTTTTAATTAATTAATTGATTTAGCTTTTAAGTCTAAAGAAATAGACCCCCTTAAACTGGCATAGCAAAGGACATTTAAATTTAACAATTTAATATTCAAAGCAGTTAAAGGACAAGTTCTCTGATTTTCAGCCAGCTTTGTATTGGTATTGTTAAAATGTCAGTAGTATATTTAAATAAGCAATGTGTACTCTTTCTCCATGTTACCTGCACCTAGATCTGCCGGTTTATTTGTGAAAACTACAGATCGTATTTCAGCATTTTTGTATCTTCACTTACAGATAGTTGGATTGATCTCAGTACACTATGGGTGCTGATATTTCCTTCCCTTTTTTTGGCAAAAGGGAACATCACAGCCTCTTTTCTCCATTTTTCTTTTGAAAGATTAAAACAAAAATCTGCATAGCCCATCTTGCCCTGAGTGACTCACCCCATTTATGTACATTCAGATTTGGTCACCTATGTGATCAATGTATTAATTAATTAATTACAATTTAGTAATTCATTTATTTGTATTAAAATGGACAAGGTACATAGTTCAATAAAAATCAACTATAAAATTATCGTACACTATATTGTGTATGTAACATAACTGGAGTCAAACCAGAGATTTAAATTTTGGTATGTTTGTAAAATTCTGCAATAATAAGTCAGTAAACCTTAATAAAAAAAGTTGACTAAATGCTATTTTGTGCCACCGAAGAAACAACATTTACATGTTTTTACTCTTTACTACATCCCTGATGCCTCACCTCAAAATCATGCAAGGACCTATACAAAAGTTAAATGTGATATTCATTGTATCAATGATAAAATGAATCATTTATAATATCTTCATAGAAAAAGTAAAACCAGAAGTAGTAGCATTTTGTAATCATCTTACCAGGCAAATATGTAAATAAACAGAAAGTAACCAATTTAATCAAATTATCTTAATTTAAAAACAGAACTGTTAATAAATTAAACACTTTTCAACCTAATAAATAGACAAAGTTAACATGTTTGTTTAAAAAAAAATGCAGATTAAAAAAAAAAATGTGGCTAAACATAAAGGATTAAATGAATGCTAAATAAGTTCTTATGTAGACAATAGCAATTTAATTATTATTATTATTATTATTATTATAATTACAACCATTTATGTTTATTTTAATCATTTAGTCCCTTTCCCTTTGAATTAGTTTGTTTTGAAATCTGATTTTGTTGTGCCCTGCTGCTCAAGTGCAGTTTTGATTGGAGTGTTAAATACACCAATCCTTGTTCCAAAACCTCATTATTAAGAAATTTAGCACTGCTTGTTAGAAATATAGCACATATCCATGTGCCTGCTTGTTTTGTATTATTGCAACTTTACAAATAGGCCTGTGTGTAAAATGAAATGTTATCACTTTTTACCCCCATGAACTTAACTGAAAAATGCAAATGGTATCTTTATAAAAACTAAATGGCCTGACAAATATTCTCCAGTTGCTCTTTTTCAGCAGTAATTTAACATATTTATTATAATGTAATGTGCTGCAGTAGAGACAGAAGAATGAGAAATGTGGGCAAGAGGGAACATGAGATGATTCTCAAATAATATTCACAACTCCCAATAAATTACCTCTGACATTATGCCTGATATATATGAAACTCATTCGTGTCAAAGTGTTCCCATTTTTCAGACTTTCAGACGGCTATCAGAGGTTTATCAGCGGCCAAATAATAGATCCGAATGCATGTGAAACTGACAGGTGGAAATATAGACCAATTATAGGTTTGTAAACATTCAGGATGCGCGCGCATCATGGTTGCAGAAAACCAGCCTTTACGGCTAGAGAATTTCACGGATACGGTACAAAATGGTTAGGTTTAAAAAGATTATAAATTATATTGATTAGATGTCATTTTCAAAATGTTCTCCGCATATTACAAGAGCTTGTCACCCAGCGATAAGCACTGTTATTCAACGAAATTGATGTTAGAGAGTGGGATAGTCTTACAGATCTGAAACAGGGATGACGTTTTTTGTGGGCGGAGCCTATCTGGTGGCAGAAAATGACGGTTTTCAAGTGGCAGTCTATGGAGCCATGGAATAAAAAAAGGTAAATTTGATTTTATATTTCAAAATTCTGACTTTATTCTCGCAATTCCGAGATTATATCTCACAATTCTAATAAGGAAAAACAACTC